ATAATATGATAATATCTAATAATTATAATACACGGTTCATATGTAAGAAAAAGTACTTAAAAACAGATAGAAATGATTTTCATTCAAGATTGTAAACAAATGGTAAAAGTAGTACGTAAATTGTGAAATGAAAACATGCGAGTCTTTAAACTTTCTAAATTTTCAAAAATAAATTCCATTATCCCTTCTTTGACTTCTTTTTTATATAAATTCAAGGTGTTTGATAATAAATTGCAGAAATAAATATTTGTATCCGAGTGGGATTTTTAGAATATTATTCAGTAGATTCGGAGTCCAGTTTGTAACTCAAATCGGGTTCAGGTCGGCAGTATGATCGTGTTTCAGGATCTCGCTCAATATCAGTTTAAACTAATTTGTAATAATAACTAATAACTACTAATAACTACTAATAACTAATAATAACTAATTTGTCAATACTAAATCCAATAGCAGGCCCTGGATTAATGCTGACATCGCCAGAGAGAATTACCAAAAATAGAGCTGACAACCCAATCTTTGTTACATACAGGCCAGCTTTGATTTTCAACATGGCGTCAGTGTCGTAGTTCGCGTAGAACATGGATTTCTCGGAGGAACACAGCTTCGTTCAGGAAAAGCTGTACTGTCTAAATTTAGTGCTAGGAATAAACTCCTGTGACTTGGTAATAGATTAAAAGTATTTTGGGCAGGACATAAGCTGAAAACAAGCAAAACCAGCAAAATGAAACGGGAGCTTACAGGAAGCAACCCGACTGCCATGACTGCCAAACTAAACCAAATAGTGTTTTTTAGCAATTCCAGTTGTTATGAGAAGTAGGTACATAGCGCGTTTGGCTAAAATGCTTTGTTGCGTAACGAAAACTATTCACCTTTTTCTTCACGAGGAATTATGATGAATTTGCTAGATTAATTCCACAATATAGTCATCATATATATTTGAAATTCAGTCGCCCATAGAATCGTCGAGAAACAAATTGAAATTTGAAACATATAGTTTAACAATATAGATTAAGAGGAGCTGTTTGGCCTACGAACTGATACGAAGTTGCCGGTGTTGTAGTAAAGTTTGATACAGAATTTCTTCGACACAAAAACTGCTTCTTCAGAAGCAATTAGGCACTCGAATACATTTTGTTTGATTTGCAAATAACTCGTTATCAACTGACCATGAACGCGAACAGACTTGACTGATACTGTTTACAAACTAATCTCATACACTAAATGTTTTCCCCTGCTTGTTTCTTTTCGATAAAGGAAGGAAAAAGAAAAGGGAGGAAAACAAGGAAATGTGAAATGTTTGAAAGATGCCATTAAGTTCGCACAAAGTATTCTCGGACAGGAAGGACATGCTGATTTTTTGTCAATGGTAGAACAAGTCTTGGTGCGTTTGCCCAAACTGTCAGAAGAAAGAGATAGTGAAGTCGTCGAAGACGATGGACAGGATTTACAAGTCAATGGCAGCGTACCATGTTGTGATTTGGAAAATTTTTTGAAAGTGGTAGATAAATCAAAACAAAATACAATGAAAAAATATTCATAAAGCTTATTAAATTTCATAGACATTCATAATTACAGAAATAAATA